ATACACTAACACGCCCCTGTCCACCCCCACGGCCCTCTCTTGACCTCTCTTGACATCTTTCATTCTTGCCTGCCTAGCATCCATTTCTAACCTGGTCGTTGCACCCCTTTTTGGGCATTAGGAAGCCAAGCTTCCCTCACTTTCAGTCCCTGTAGTTGGGTGAGACTGACTTCCCCTCCCTCCCCATGCCCTCAACTCCAAGGGTTGGCCAAGTCCCAGATCCAGCCAATCAGCTAATCTGTTCCCCCGCCCACTAGAATGACCGGTTCTGGAAGGTTCCCTGGATCCAATTGGTACAAGATCTTCATTTCTTCATTTGGATATCTCCACAGCCATATATTAACACTAGGAAAGGTGATTCCATTCCAAGTTTCCAGCATGGGACGTGATGAGCTTATAGCAACCAGCACACACAGTCTACTGGATGTAGATGCTAATTTCAGAGTATGCTCGTGACCTAAGTGGCCCAGCCAGGCTGGATTTCAGGACTCTGACTTGGAATGCAGAAACAGTTGTGTCCTTTCAGATGGGAAGTGTACAAGAAGGCCCGGGACTTCCCTGGCAGTCCAGTGTTTGGGACTCTGTGCTTCCACTGCAGGGGTCACAGGTTTGATCCTTAGGAGCGGAACTAAGATCCCACAAGTCACGTGGCTTTGCTGATTAAAAAAAAAAAAAACGGACCGTGATGCTGATGACTGCTGAAGGTCTTTCTAGGGTGCAAAGGTGAACCCATATCAGAAGAAGTCCTCACAGTACATAGCAGAGCAAAAAGACAGACAGAACTGGTCCCTGAGAATGAGGACGTGGGTGAGTTGTGGAATCAACCGAACCTGAAAATCAGCCTCCTTCTGGGATTCCAGTTATAGGAACCAGTACCTCCTCTTCACTGTTAAAGTCTGGTGAAGTTGGATGTTCTGTTACCTGCAGCTGAACACAATCCTGAGATCCAGTGGTGGTGGTTGTTTAGTCACTTCAGTCGTGTCTGACTCTTTGTGACCTCCTAGACTGTAGCCCACCAGGCTCTTCTGTCTGTGAGACTGACCAGGCAAGAACACTGGAGTGAGTTGCCATTTCTGTCTCCAGGGGATCTTCCCAACCCAGGGATCAAACCTGTGTCTCCTACATTGCAGGCAGATTCTTTACTGACTGAGCCAGCTGGGAATCACTCAACCGAGACCTGGACTCAGGCATGAAAGAGAACTGTCCGTTCTTGAAACAGTAAAATCCCAGGGTGGAGACACCCTGAACAAGTGGAGACTTCACCCCTGTCATCTCGTTTGACCATCATATTTCATCCTGGTAACGATTACCAGGATCCTCACTGAATACATTGGAAAAAAAAAAAAAGACTCAAGTAAAAGCACTAACTTAAAGCAGTGGCCTTTTAGTGGGAGCAGCTTTGCCCCCCAGGGGAAACTTAACGACTCGAGACTTTTCAGTTGCCACAACTGGGGGCAGGGGGAGGCACGCACTGGCATCTAGTGGGCAGATGCCAGGAACGCCGCGCCACAGCCTACAACGCACACGAGTCCGCAACAAAGAGGTCTCTGGACAAAATGTCAATAGGGCTGAGGTTGAGAAATCCTGCTTGATTGACCGAGGGCCACCTAGGTGCTAGACTCAGAATCAAACCTCAGGGGCTGCACCAAACGCAGCCCGGCCCGCTGCGGGCACGCAGTGCAGCCCAGGCCCGGAGCCTGTCAGGTTCGCCACAGGGGAGACTCCGGAGGCCGAGGGGCCTGAAAGCCAGAGGTGAGTGGAGCCCAGCCACTTCCGAGGGCACCGTGAGCTTGTACCAGCGTCACCCTGGGTCAGATGCGTTCCAAGGCGAGCCCCTTGCAGATTCCTGCATAATTTCTTGGCCCTGGTGACCTGTGCTTCAGGGAACCTGGGGAGGTCTGTGGCTCCATGCCCAGGGTCCCAACTCCATTTCTACCTGTTTGTCTGGCATTTGCTGTACAAAATTGGAAATTAATAATTCATTTCACAGGATGAATAATTCAACAGAGGGGACAAAGGGTTGCTGGCAATGGTTGGCATCATAGAAACAGACTGTATTGCCTTCAAAAGAGAGCAGTAAAAGGAAATTCTACAGCCAAGCTGGTGTCTGGACCCAAGTGACTCTGAGGCTAGACAACTGAAATGAGCTCTCCTTGGGGGTGTGTAGAAGTGATGAGGACAATGCGGATCCCAGCAGGGAATTTGGAATCCTACCCTTCTCCCTCCATCACTTCCAGCCTCTTAAACCTTTATGGTTCATTATAGCCCAGCTTCATTGGCACCTATTCCAGGAAGCCTTCCATGATACCCTCAACCAACTGGAGCAAAATTGCATTTCTCTCTGATCCCATGTGTTAGTTACTTACCCCTGACCTCTACTAACCTCACAGCCTTGCACTAAGCCGTCTTTCTGCTGCCAGAGATTCTAGAGCCGTGGAATGGGTTTTCTAGTGTGAAGGGAAAAAGAGGTTCAACAGAGCTAGTGTGACTGACTCTTAGCATTTCAGGATTATGCTCATTTGAGGTTCAAATAAAACCTGGCAGCCCTTCTACTGAAAAAAAAAAAAAAACCTCCCCAATATATCCACAGACATTTCAGGGGATGCAGAGGTCCTGGAGCCACTTTACTGACTCAGGTTTAGAATTCCTGCCTCACGAGGAGCCTTCCCTGAAGGAGGGGCTACAATTGTCCAGAGTGAGTCCCCCAGGCTTGCAGTGTCTTGAAATGGCCATTTCCCATGTGCCAAGGTATTTGAAGAGAGTGAATAATCAACAAGGTATTAAATGCTTGCGTGTGACACTGGGCAAGTTATTGCCCATCTCTGGGCCACAGTTTGTTTACTTGGAATTAGAAGAGTCGGTCTAGATTATCTTGATGCTTTGATTCGATCATTTATCAAACAAATATTTATTACATGCTATTAGGTGCCAGGTACCTAGCTGAGAACTGGGAATAAGGTTAGTGAACAAACAGATGACGTTCCTAACTTGTCAAGACACATAGTCTAATGAGGAGGCAGTCACTGATTAAATGATCACACACAAAAATAAAAGGTGATGAGTTGTGATCCGTGCTACACAGGGGAAGTGCAGGGAGCTAGGTAGGAGTGTATATGTCAGGGGAATGATTAGAACTTGGAGAAAGAAGAGATCAAGACTTCATCTTGATGAGGAGAGCATCGGGGGTAGTTCAGGCTGAGGAAGAGTGTGGATCTGGCCCTGATGTGTGGGTGGCCGGGACACTTAAGGAGTTAGATGGTCAGGTGCTCACTTTGGCAGCACATATACTAGAGTTGAAACCACACAGAGAAAGTTAGCCTGGCCCCTGTGTAGGGATGACGTGCAAATTCACCAAGTGCTCCATATTTTTTACATATATACACTATTGATGGGCTTCCCAGGTGGTTCAGGGGTAAAGAATCCTCCTGCCATTGCAAGAGACTCGAGAGAGAAGGATTCAGTCCCTGGGTTGGGAAGGTCCCCCTGGAGGAGGGAATGGCAACCCACTCCCGTATTCTTGCCCCTGGGAAATCCCATGAACAGAGGAGCCTGGCGGGCTGCAGTCCATGGGGTGGCAGACCCTGGAGTGTCAAAAAGTTGGACGTGACTGAGCACGCACGCATGTACACTGTTGATACCCTGTATAAAATAGATAACTAATGAGAACCTACTGTATAGCTCAGAGAACTATGCCAAACAATGCTCTGTGGTGACCTAAGTGGGAAAGAAATCCAAAAAAAGAGATGGTACATATATATGTGTGTGTGTGTGTGTGTGTGTGTGTGTGACTTACTATGCTATATGGTAGAAATTAACACAATATTATAAAGCAACTATATGCCAATAAAATTTGAGAAAAAAAAAAAGAAATTAGAAGCTCAAAATGGCTTCGTTCTGGAGGCTGCTGGGGAGCCTGCGGCCCAGAGAGCAAATATCCAGGAGCATGACAAGGCAAGGGCCCTCTCTTTTCATGATAGCCAAGGCATATCTTCCAGTAACTTCTTCTGATGCTCTCCCAAGGAAAGCTAAAGAGCTGGCACTATTTCACTGCATTGAAACTTCAGGCTCATTGTTTAAAAACATCAAGTACCAAACTTTCCCATCACCAGAATAACTGAAGGTGTCTTTCGAAAGCCCTTCGTCTCATATCTTACATTAAAAGTATGAGACGCTACCAAATAAAACATATTTGATTTTATGTATGTATTTCTTGGCCATGCCATGGCATACATGCCATGAATCAAAGCCGTGCTCTTGCAGCGGGAGCATGGAGTCCTAACCATTGGACTGCCAGAGAACTCCCCCAAAACGTTTAATCTTAAAGTGAAGCAAAAATGCCCCGGCCCAGCCCTCGCTGCAATTTAAACTATGTCCCAGCCCTAGAGGAATTATTTCTACCTCCTGGTTCTGTGGCTCCATGGCCCCACACTGATGATTACCGAGAGCAGGGATGTACCAATTGCCACTCTGATGGGTGGTCTGAGAGCAGTGTCGCCGAGCTGCACGGGGCAGACAGAGCTACCCTTTCATCTCCCTGGGTGGAGCTTTAGGCTGGAGCCAGCACGGAAGCTTCAGTTCAGGGACCCCGTCTGCCCCCCGCCAGCTGCTGGACATCTCTGGGCAAATATCATCCCCTTTCTGAGCCTCAATTTCCTTATCCGCCAAAGGAGAGATTGGGACTACATGTTTGATAAGGTTCTTTTCTTTGACTCGGGGGTTCTCTGCCCTCTTCTTTCTAAAAGGCATGACCCGGACATTTTTTAAATCTTTCCAACAACTATTCATAGGCCAGTGACAGAAGGCGAGATAACTACCACTATCCGTAAATTATAATGAGTGGATAATTAGCTGCCTTCAAATTAAGCCTCCCTTCATGGAAGCCAGGAGGCTTAGTTTTTTAAGTTGTTTATCATTATCGTTCTTTAATGTTGTTTTCTTACCACAACCCAGAGGGAAAGGGAAGAATGACAAGCAGATGTTTTGTTATTAGGGGCCCTGGGGGATGATCTGGTACTTCCACCGCAGTGATCATTCTCCAGATTCCTCTTGAGTCAGCAGAAGCTTTGATGAACTCGACAGAGGGCAGGGGGATCGGACAGACACGGCCTATCGAGAGAAAGCCTGGCTTAACAGAAAGCTGCTGGGGACAGCAGTTCCTGGCCAGCGACAGTGTGGATTATGAAATTCGTATTTTTATGTAACACTTTGCAGAGATTTCATTGCCGTTGTTTCATTTTCTCATGAGGATTCTTTGCCACTGCCTGAGTTCAAACCACTATCATCTTCCACATACGTCTCTCTCATTGCATAGTCTCCCTAGCTGTTGCAGGTTGCCTGTAAAAACGGCCATCAAAAATCCATGGAAAGTATATTAGTGGTTGCCTGTGGTGGTGCAGTGGTAAAGAAACAGCCTGCCAATGCAGGAGACTTGGGTTCGATCCCTGAGTGGGGAAGATTCCACTGGAGAAAGAAATGGCAACCCACACCAGTATTCTCGCCTGGGAAATCCCATGGACATGGGAGCCTGGCAGGCTAGAGTCTGTAGGGTCACAAAGAGTTGCACATGACTTAGCAACTAAACAACAATAGTGGATGGAGAGGAAGGCTAGTTCTTCTCACCCTTGAATCAAAGCTGGCCTTGCAACTTTCTTTGACCAATGCAATGTGGAAGAAGTGATGTTGTATCAGACCCTATATATGACTGAAGTCATGGCATGTGACTTCTAAGGCTAGACCACAGAGGCATAGGTGCTTCTGCTTCGATCTCTTGGATTACTCCTTCTGAGGGAAGCCAGGGACCACGCTGCAGGGATGTTCAAGCAGCCCTGTGGAGAGCAACCGTGGCCTCTTGCCAATAGCCGGTACCAACTCGCCAGCCATATGAGTGGCTCACCTACCTGGAAGTGGATTCTCCAGCTCTGATCAAGGCTTCAGGGGAGCGCAGTCCCAGCTGACATCTAATTGCATCTTTGTGAGAGACCCTGAGCCAGATCCGCCCAGCTGAGTCACTTTGGAATCCTTGACCGCAGAAACCATGTCCGATAATAAACACTTATTACTGCTCTGAGCCACTGAGTTTTGCGGCAATTCGTTGCAGAACAGTAGATAAATAATACAGTGGTTCACCCTTCAAATCTGGGTAAGGAGTCACTCCTACTTCATGTAGACTGAACTGGAAGGATGGTTCTCTGAGTGAAAGGGAATAGGACTCTATGGTCCTTCTCCCCTATCCTCATCCTGCCTTTTGTCTGTGGAAAAACTTTAGCCAAAGAACGTTCAACGGGAGATGAGAAGGAAAACTATCAAAGGAGACCAAATAATGATAGTTTAGTCAGTAAGCATAGTCAAGGACCTCTAATTCCTTCTCAAGGGCTATAGACAATACTCCAAGTCTCATCCTAGGAGCTGTCTTATAGATACAAGATGACTAGACTGCAGCCAACAATAAACCGCCACAGTTCTGAGAACTGGCCTCAAGGAAACGGGAACAAACTGACCACGGAACTGCAGATTAACTGTACCTCAGATAATCAAGATGACACTAGTCAGACCACTGATGACCAAATTCAGGATGACTGTCAGAGCTGACTGTGCTGTTTCTGCATGTAACCCCCTTCCTTTATTTGTAAAGGCCCTTGTCCCCTGGTTTTCAGTGGGGGAGTCAGCCTTTGGACAGGAAGCTGTCCCCTCCCCACCCTGCTGCCTCATCATTGTTGTTTTAGTCGCTCAGTCGTGTCTGACTCTTTTGCGACCCCATGGACTGTAGCCCACCAGGCTCCTCTGTCCATGGGATTTCCCAGGCGAGAATACTGGAGTGGGCTGCCATTTCCCTCTCCAGGGGATCCTCCCCACCCAGGGATCGGATCCATGTCTCCTGCACTGGCAGGTGGATTCTTTACTGCGGAGCCACCAGGGAAGCCCACCCACTGCGCCCCAATGCTGGCATCCAAAATTAAGCGAATGTTAGTTTGCTTTATTTTCCTTTCCACCAACCTGGCCTATCTATTGGCTTTTGGGCAGCAAGCAGCCAGACCCCACTTTTGGTAACACGAGGAGTGGTCAAGCTGCTGTTAGTGGGGAAACAGAGGAGATGAATATTGTGCAGGCGAGGCAACAGCTCACCCGAACAATGGTCCTCTGCAAACACAAGCTGGTTGGAGGGTTGAAGCACAAAGGCAATACTGATTCATTTTAGGTGACTCAGAGCATCGGGGCCGGGTGGGACTCAGACCCAGATATTCCAGTGCTGATTTTCTAGCTCCAACTACTGACAGTATTCCTCTGTATTTATTCCTAGACTTGACTGATTCTGAGCACCACAGACAACTTGCCTCCATTGCCAACCCAAATAATTGCCATTAAATTAAGTTAGTTGTGGTTGTGTTTCTTTTAATATAGAAAACAGAGCCCCCTCCCCCCAATTCCTCCATACTTGTGTGTAACTGATACATGGTTTGAGGCTTCTCCTGTTAACGTGGCTTTTTAATTCCATTTCCTTTGGACATATGACAGCTCAGACAAGGATGTCTCCTTTGGAAGCTCACATTTCTCATTAATCTCTTCTGGAACATGAGAGAAAACAAAGATGAAATAAATATAAGGGTTAACATTCCAATGGAAGGGCTTCCCTGGTGGTCTGCTGGTTAAGAATCTGCTTGCTGGTGCAGGAGACATGGGTTTGATTCCTGGTCTGGGAAGATTCCACAAGCCACGGAGCAACTAAGCTCATGCGCCATAGCTCCTGAGCCTGTGCACCCTAAAGCCCTTGCTCTCCAACAAGAGAAACCAACTACGATGAGAAGCCTGAGCACCACAACGAAGAGTAGCCCTCGCGTGCTGCAACAAGGACCCAGAACAGCCAAAAACAAACAAATTTTTTAAAACCACTCCAATGAATACGGAGCCTCCTTCCTTCCTCTCTCTTCCTTATTTTCTTCCTTCCTTCCTTTCTCTCCACTAACATTTATTTTTTTTTTTTTTTTAATTTCCACTAACATTTCTTGAGCGCCTACTACATGCTTGGTATTGTCTGTACTATCTCATTTAGCCTCCAAATGATGAAGTGGCTATCAATGATCCCCTTTTGACAGATGAGGAAATTGAGACATGTTCAGAGAAGTCAGGTGTCTTGTTGGAACTTACTGTCTTTTTATAAGTCATGCTGTGCTGTGCTTAGTCGTGTCTGACTCTGAGACCCCATGGATGGTAGCCGCAAGGCTCCTCTGTCCATGGGGATTCTCCAGGCAAGAATACTGGAGTGGGTTGCCATGCCCTCCTCCAGGGGATATTCCCTACCCAGGTCTCCCACATCGCAGGCGGATTCTTTACTGACTGAGCCACAAGGGAAGCCCAAGAATACTGGGGTGGGTAGTCTATCCCTTCTCCAGAGGATCTTCTCCGCCTAGGAATCGAACCTGGGTCTCCCGCATGGCAGGCAGATTCTTTACCAGCTGAGCTACCAGGGAAGCCCATAGTCAAGTTAGTTAGCTTTAAAACTTCAGTGACATTAATACCATTGGAAATAATGAAACCAATCCATACATTTCTGCCAGAAGTTCTACTTTAAGCTTTATCTGTACCAAAGACTGCCACGTGTGTTCTTACAATCAACCGCCAAGATACAAATTAAATTGCCATCAAATGGGTGTGATGCCAGAGGGAAAAAAAAATAGAGTGACCAGGACGTTTTTTTCAGTCCCTCCTAGATCACTGGATGACAAGTTTACCTGAAAAAATTGATGTCAATAAAAGAACGTATCCCCTGTCCTGACACAGTTTATAGCATTTAGCAGCAGAATTCCTCCTGGACTTGAGGAACCCAGGTAGCACACTTGGTTTTTCCAAGAAGTGGAACCACACCTGCTCTCCGCCCACCTCCCACCATCTCTGCTAAAGCAGCAAGGATGCTAGCAGCGGAGAGAAAGTGTGGGTACAGCCACTTCTGTACCTACAGGGGGCGGAGTCTTGGGTGGGGGCGTGGCCCGGGCCCAGCTTCTCGGCGGCAGTTGGCTCCGGGGACGCGGCGGGCCGGGGCTTCCTGTCTGCGCCTGCGGAATAGCTGTTTGACCCCGGAAGTGCCTGCGCTCTAGGAGCTGTCACCGTGGACCGCGGCGGCGGCGGTGGCGGCGGTACATCGCCGGCATCGGAGCCGCCAAGGTGAGTGCGTGGCTGATCCCTGCGGATGTGGGACATCGGGCCTGGGAGGGGCTGCAGCTGTGCCTCACGCGGCCTCGGGCCTCCCGCCTCGATGGCAGGGCCAAGGCTTAGGCTGCCCCAGGGGCCGTGAGTCGCCCCGTTCCTCCTACCTTTCCACCCCGACCCCAGAGTCAGGCCGCCAGAGCTTAGAGTCTTAGGGTTCGAGGATCGGCCCCAGAGTGACCTTGGCCTTGGGCGAGACGCGGTCCTCCTACCCTCACCTCGAGCTTCAGTTTCCTCAGGGTTCATTCATTCTTTCAACAAATCTTATGTCCAGCGCCTCCTACGTGGGCACAGATCTAGGCACTGGGAATATAAACAGAGCAACAGAGGAAGTTCCCTCCCTCATAGAGCTTACAGTCTAGTGGGCGGAGACAGTCGATGACAAAGAAATGCACTAGGTAATTAAAGATATGACTGCAACCGGAGGAGTGAATACTTTAGATAGGGCAATCTGGTACGATCTCTGAGGAGGGTAATATTGAAGCGAGACCAGAAGGGTTAAGACAGAAACTGAGACAGGAGTAGCCGCGGGGATGCTCCCAGGCCTTCTTGAGCTTACTCCAAGCTCCCCTTCAAAAGAAAGCCCTTTCCTAAATTTTTAACTTCTGCTGCCCTGCTTGACACTGAGGATCCACTGTGGGGTGGGGCACAGATATCATCGTGATCATTGACCTTGCCATTTTTAGAGTCCAGTTATTGCCTAGTTAATTTCTACTCATACTGTAGATGAAAACTCAAATATTCCTTGACATCCTCTTTCTGTCGAGTCAGTTCTCTTTGTTAAATGCTGTCCTAGCCTCATGGGTCTTGCCTGCAAAGCATACTCAAAGTATTGAATTTCCTTGTTCGTGTGGCTGTTTGGTTCATATCTGTCTTGTTAACCATCAAGACCGTAAACTCTGTGAAGGGCAGAATTGGGTCTGTTATTTGCCCGCCTTAGGATTCTCCAGGCTTCAGTGCCTGGTACATAGTAGGTACTCAAGAACTATTTGAAGGGACAAATAAGGTTATTAACAGTTTTAGCTCTCCAGTGGTTCATAGAAGGTCTCTCTTGCCACCAGGTTATTACCTTCTCATTATGATTATGTCTCTCCTCTCCTTACATGACTCCTCACTGTCTTCAGATGAAAAGCCAAAATCCTTAGCACAGCGTTTGAGGCTCATTTTAAAGTGGCTCCATCTTCTCTATCCAACCTCTCCTCTCCACATCTTGTGTTTTCAGCCACACCAAATGTCTCCCTCATCCTTCAAAGCCACAGGCTCTGAGCCTTTGCTCATGCTTGCTCTTTGCTTGAAATGTCCTTCCTTTCCATCTTTTCTCCTATCCTTCAACAGCCAGGTTGTAGGTCATGTTTTCTGTGACATTCTTCCTTTCTCTGTTGTGCTCATTTCGGAAATTTCCAGTTAAAGCTCTAACTACATGGATTAATAGTCATTTACATGCCCAGGTCCCAGAAGGTATTCGGTAAGTATTTGCTGAGTAAATGAGGAAGCCCCAAGTGCTCGGCTTACGATTGGGACTTGAATAATAATAACAACTAAACTTTACTGGGGGCCTCGTTGGTGGCTCAGTGGTAAAGAACCCGCCTGCCAATGCAGAAGACATGGGTTTGAACCCTGGATTGGGAAGATCCCCTGGAGAAGGAAATGGCAACCCACTCCAGTATTCTTGCCTGGGAAATCCCACGGACAGAGGAGCCTGGCAGGCTACAGTCTATGGGGTCACAAAAGAGTCAGACATGATTTAGAGATTAAACAACAACAAACTTTCAGTTCAGTTCAGTCGCTCAGTCGTGTCCGACTCTTTGCGATCCCATGAATCGCAGCACGCCAGGCCTCCCTGTCCATCACCAACTTCCGGAGTTTACTCAGACTCATGTCCATCGAGTCTGTGATGCCATCCAGCCATCTCATCCTCTGTCATCCCCTTCTCCTCCTGCCCTCAATCCCTCCCAGCATCAGGGGCAGACATGACTTAGCGATTAAACAACAACAAACGTTACTGAGTGCTTATTATGTTCCAAGTACTGTGTTGACCACTTAATATTGGTTACTTCTTACAATATTGGTTACTTCTCATGTCAACCCTGGGAGATTATGTACTGTTCTCATCCCGATTTTACAGATGAGGAGATCAGAGCTTAAAGAAGTTAAGGAACTGTTCACGTCTCAACATGGGTAGGATGGAGCCAAGATTTGAACCCAGGCTGTGGCACTATAAACTTCTCTTTTGACCATCATACCAGCCTGAGTCTAAACTGCCCTTATAGGCTCCGGCCTGTAGGAGTAGATTTCTTCTAAAAGCAGGTTGCTGTCTGTACCTGTCTAGACCTGGACTCTGGGAAGTAGAATTTTAAGGGTGGAGAGCCACCTCCTCCTTTTGACTCTTTCCCCATCCTAGGTCCCTGCACTGGACACTCCCACTACCGTCTTTGGAAGGTGAGGATGGAAAGGACTGAGCCTGGGCTTCATTTAGACTTCTGCACTAGCCCACTGATGTTTCCAGCTGTCCTCCCAGCGTCTCTCAGAGGTTGGGAAAGAAGTATTTTTAGCACACTCAGTACCAGAGACCCAGGTGCCAAGGCACAAGAGCTGGGCTTCAGTTTCAACTTGGCGACTCAGGTATTTGCCTGAGCAAATCAGGGCCCCTCTGTGGACATCTGAGCATAATGATCCTTGTCGTTCTTAACTGGGTTATTGTGAAAGGCTAGTAAGATAGTAGCTCAATTAGAAATCGTGTATTGACTCAGTGGCCATGAGTTGAGCAAACTCTGGCAGATAGTGAAGGACAGGGAAGCCTGGTGTGCTGCAGCCGATGGGGTCACAAAGAGTCAGACACAATTGAGCGACTGAACAGCAACAACAAATATACAGCAGATCTGCATTTTGCAGAGGTGAAAGATGGAAGCTCAGTCACGGGGCCCATGTGTTTGATCCACTATCCACTGAGTTCCTAGTGCTGGAATGGGCCTCAGGGACTAGGCAGACTAGACTAGGGACTAGTTCCTTCTCTTTACATCCCATGTGAAGATGGGTATCTTCACAGTCTTTAAAGCAGCCCCTGAACCAAGGTTCCTTGTGCACCAAGCTACTTCCCACCACCTTACCTTCGTTCCTGCTGTTTCCTCCACCTGGGACACCCTTCTTCCCAGTCTCCACTATCAAGACTCAGCTCAGGCTCTCCTTTAGGCACTCCTCTAGAAATGCTTTCTCTACAACCACAAGCCCCTGCCCCCAACTCAACTGCCCTAGTCTCAACACAGCAAATGGTTAAGAGCCAGCCTGCTTCACCACGCACTAACTCTGAGACCTAGGCGAATTTTTTTATCTTCTCTGAGCCTCTGTTTCCTCATTAGTAAAGTGTTAGTTGTTTAATCATGTCTGACTCTTTGCAATCCCATGGAGTGTAACCTGCCAGGCTCCTCTGTCCATGGAATTCTCCAGGCAAGAATACTGGAGTGGGTTGCCATTTTCCCTTCTCCAGGGGATCTTCTCAACCCAGGGACTGAACCAGGGTCCCTGCACTGCAGGCAGATTCTTTACCATCTGAGCCTTTAGGGAAGCTCATTGGTAAAATGAAGGCAATGAGCTTAATAGCACCAACCCTGGACTTGGTTCAAGCATTAATACATGTGAAGCCCGTTAAGGTATCTAAAGTGAGTTCAGGTGGAGAAAATCGCTCGGAAGAGCACCAGCACCTGAGAGGCGTGTTTCTGCTGCTATTATTGTCATCCTTATTATTGGATCGGAAGCTCCCACAGAGCAGAGACCAGGCCCTGTCAGTCTCTCTTTGTAACACCAGGGCCTGGCCTGATATCTGAGAGCCGCGACCGCAGTGACTCATGGCTGACCGTGTCCCTCAGCACCTCAGGGAGGGCTCAGGAGGTGATGGTTTCCTCATCCCACCCTTCATACATCTTCATGTCGTCATTGAGATGTGCCAGCCTTTTGTGGCATGTCTTAAGAGGCCTGAGTCACTTCTGTCCCATGGTTCAGCCAATATGCACGTCCCTCCTGTGGATCAGGCCAAGTGGCACTGAGAAATGAGTGTTGGCCTGGAAGACAGGAGATGTGGGGTCTGCCACTCACTGACTCTGAGGGCATTTTGGGCCTCTCTAGAGAGGAGGTCACTCTGGCAGGTTTCCGTGAATTCTCTGTGAAAACCTTCTTGTCCTTCTAGTTATCCATATCCTTCTTCCCTGAAGCCTGGAAAGTTTGTAAAATCTTAACACCCTCTGCAAGGGAGGAAATTCCCATGGCTTCAACCCCCCCAAATCTGGTTAAAATGGTAAGAAAAGTGTCATCGTATTCAGTTGTTCATCAAATATTTCACGAAACCACCTCTGGACCAGGCCTGTGCTGGCCACAGGAAAGGTAGCAAGAGAAGGAGAACCCAGGCACTGGCCTCCCCGAGCTCACAGGCCAAGGAGGGCACAGAGCGGGGGCCGTGGGAAAGATGATCTAGTTACTTTCAACCAGAACTTCACGAATTGGGGCGGAATTGGAGAAGGAAATGGCAACCCACTCCAGTATTCTCGCCTGGAGAATCCTATAGACAGAGGAGCATGGTGGGCTACAGGAGTGGGACATGACTTAGTGACCCAACCACCACCATATCAGGTGTCACCGGGGCAGTGTTTTCCTCCTCAGCTGAGAACTGCCGCTTTAGGCAAAAAGTCACTGGTCTAGGTGAGTAGTTATGGGAACCAGGCCTTTCAGGTCCGCCAGGAGCCCCCTGAGGCCAGAGGTTTCAGCTTTTCTCCTGGCTCTGGGGTGAGCCCCAGAGCAGGCCCCTGCCCCCCAGAGCCTCTGCATCTG